GATCCTGTCTCCGCAGAGGATGCTGTGACGTGCCCATCCAGGCAATTTGGGTGCTCAATACAGGATTAACAGAGCACGAAAACTGATGTTCCGGCCCAGGATGACGAGTCAAATACAAGATCAGGTGTTAAGCTGTCCAACCTGACTGTCGCATGAAGCTCGCCAAGCTAGCTGCGTGAGGTTCCAGGTCGACCACAGCAGAAACTAGTGGTGGAAACTAGGAAGGACTATGGGGCTGTTCGTTGCAGCTAGACTCAAGCAGACAACCACGGCAGATCCAGGAAAGCACTAGACGGTTGTTTCGTCCTATTGGGTCTCATCAGTAGCACGCACCCACTGGATTCGAACCCATGACCTTACTCGTACGGGCCAACGACTTATGCCACTTAGCGCGGCCTGCCATTACTGATATTTAACTGCGATATAGCGCGACTCATCCTCCAGTTTCATACACCAAGGAGAGCGCTTTACTGCATTTTTAGTGGCTGTCTGCCTGAGTCTAGCTCCGACGAATATTTTCAAGAACCCAATAAATCCCACTACTACTAACTAACAAGCAGTAATCACCTTAGCAGCTTATATGCCACCCGAATAGCGGCAGCTTTCAAAGGAAGTTGTAGCTGTGGGAGCCAGCCCTGTCTTCTGCACGTTCACAACACCTAGGACAGTGGAGGATGAGCCGCGCTATATCGCATTTAGATATCATGGCCGTGACCTAGGTCGCTGGCTCGTGTCATGAGTTCGAATCCGGCAGTATTCTGCGGTTGCGCGCTACTCACTGGTCTTAATAGGCCGTCTAGTGCCTTTATGGATATGTGGTGGCTATCAGTCCGAGTTTGGCTGCGACGAATCTTCTCAAAAGGTCAAAAATATTCACGAGGAAAACTAATCACCACGAACTACTACTGCGACTACTTCGAGGTCGATCCAGTACCACTACGGAAGTAGCCATCAATAAGCTTAGGTATCCGTTCGCTCGAGAAGGACTACTGGAAGAACTGGTCTCCGACTATGTTACACATAGTATAAGTGTTGCCTTCCAGACCTTTGTAAACGAGTGCGAAATTTCGCTACGAAAAAACAGCCTGCATCACAGCCGGTCAAACTGAAAAGCAGAGGTGGCATTAAGACAACCCAAAAAAATCACTTCCGTTTTCGCGTTTAAGCTTTATGTTCTTTTGCACGTAATGCTGCACACGTGGTGATCGGGCCGCAGATCAGCACATTGTCTGCTACACCTTGCACCGTCCAGATCATCAACAGCTTGCAACAACGGCTCGGAATTTTCAAACCATTCAGTAAAGGTTGCCGTCGAAAGCGCCCGAATGGTGTGACGAGTTGTTAGTAAACTAGGTCGTACCAGAACGCCGTTGATAGATCAGTCATGGTTAAGTAATTTGCTCTGGACAAACATGGCAGGACATCTAACGTTCACAGCGTATAGCGTTCTTTTCGTAATACTTCATTCAATGGCTTCGGGTCCATGCACAAACGTAAATCACTACTCTTTTTCATAACCATTGCGATTTGACTACCAGTCTGTTGACTAGTTGACCTGAGCGATTACATTCTACTGTATCAACTTACTTAGGCAAACAGAACCCTTATAATCGGCAGCGCAGTCAGTCGTTTTGACGGATCAAATGATATATAAGCGGAACCTTCGAACCCTCCCAATCCCATGGACGGATAATTTACGCTAAAATCTGTCACTGCTTGACGCCCACGATGATGTACGTAGGTGAGTAATATAAGATTTCCCAGTTCGAGCGTTCGAAAATCAGATTTACGTCATTCAACCTGGTTGGTCCGTCCATTAATCAAATTGACTAAGGCGACATTTACCGGCATGCAGACGTTTAATTAGCTAGGCTCCACAAGCCAATAGGATACCGGATGTACTAACAAAGCAAAGTATTCGCATGTAGGGGTCGCAGGAGTGTAATTGATTCACTTCCGGCTGTCAGAATGCCAGCAATCGGTAGCCCTTTTCATCAACAGGCTGTTATTACGGTGCCCAAATTACTTTACCCCACATTGATCCACCTTAGCCCGCCGTTGGTGACCTCAGACATCAACACCCATCCCAGTCATGTAATCGATCACCTCATGTGACTAGTTGCAAACAATCGAACCACCGTGTCCCATACATCCGGTATCATTATTGGGTGCCGGCGATTGGCTAATAAAACGGTAGCAACCCGGTGCGTTAGGTAAACATCGCCCGAACCAATTTGATCGATGGACGGACCAAGCTGGTCGGATAATATTGGAATTTGATTTCCATACAGCTCAACTTGTAACCTGTATGGACCAACTTGACTGGAAGGTGCTATAAATCGTGGTAATGAGGCGAGTCCATTAGTAACAAATAATATTGAACATGTTGCGTTGCTTTGGGCACGTCTTTAGTATACCTGGTCACAGACTAGTCAGGAGGTCATTGTTTCGTATGCTGGGTGTATGGTGGCGCAGTGCTCGAAGCGGGTTGGAACTGAAATCACTGACAATGGGACCGAGTGTAAATGGCCCGACTCAACTTCCAGGCTGGTGCCCCCTACACTTGTGTCTTGCTCGAGGCTTTACAAGACATGGATAACAACAGGCACCAATGGCGCATTTGCCATTACATCCCAGTCGGAATGCTTAGCTGATTTGTCTGGTGTAGAGGTACCTGTAATGACCGACAATGACACGACGTAAAGACAAAAAGGATCCGTCTCGCGGAAGCCACTTTCGCACGACAGCCAGCTGTTTCTGATTGTATGTTGTTTACACAATGTAAACATTTTAGCCTTGAATATTCGCTTATAACGCTAGAGTTTTCGCTACATCCCCCTTCACTTCACTTCGTAGATAATTATGGTGGTGCGGCAGCGAAACATCGGTTCAAATAGTCGATGTGTTGCTGGTGCATCGAAGAATTCGATAGGAGCACAATAAGCACGCTCCATTGGGCTGTCGTGTGCAATCGCGGTTCATAAAGTGTCGCAGTGCTGTGCGCGGTCACGCCGGAACGTATGAGCGATCATTGCTTGAATACAGATTAGCGATGCTCCAGGATGCTTATGTGCCGCTAAGTAATTTCACTGTGGAGTGTGTTTTTACCTGACCATGACATATGCAAGGCACACCTAGAAAAAAGTTGTAGGCTTCTCGTAAACCGATCTAAATGTCTACGATGAAAAATAGCGCATGACGTCAAACGCCGTGGAAGTGTCAAGTACCTCATAGATGAGAATGGATGAGATCTGCGACGCGCACGGAGCTGCATTGCAGATCAAGCCAGTGTAACTTTTCGCATCGGTCAGAAATCCGGAGGAACGTAAAACTGATTACGTGTTGAGTATAAGCAATGCGATTGTAAACATCCAGGAAAGTGAAGGACCAAGTTTAGTCGCCGTACCTAGCTTGTAGGAGGAAATGCGAATGGTAAGCGGCTGAATCACAACCAATTGGTGAGGGAAACGTGATTGAGTACAGCTCAAGGTTCGCAGCTATTAATGAACAACGGGATGGGATGGAAAATAGTTTGAGTTACCAAGATCGCGTCGAGATCAGATGATAAGAATGAAAATCTGATTGTTAAAGTCGTATACAACCAGGCAGCTTCCACATATAGAGGAAAGAGTTACACGACTGGGGCTTCTCAGCTGCGCCACACCTTCGCATTATGCGGAGCCCCAATCAATGAGAAGTATCTTAAGCCGCACGGGACGGCTGGTCCAAAGAGCTTCATTGAAGTCTGCTAGCTAGAAAGTAAAAGGGGTTCTGAAAAATGACGTTTATCGGAGTCCAGTGTAACGGGTGTACAAGATGTCACTGTGCAGTCCACACAGGTGCATATGCATATGGAATAACCAAATAGGCAGAAGCAAAGCATCCAAACGACGCAAATTTTGTACAAAAGGACGATATTGGTAAACAGGTAAGCGCGAATTGATGCACCAAATTAACTCTCATCCAATACTGGTTCCATGTCGATACGGACATCCTCCGCTTCATACGACCCGCGAGGAACAAAGTTCTTTTTCGCGTTAACTGCAAAGGCTTTCCCTGAACGAGTCCTGTCGTCCATATGCGGAGGAGATCGGTTGGGTGTGTAGGTATGTCCGGAATTCTTTGGCACCTCCTTCGACTCTCCATTTACGATTTCCTTTCCGATAGTTGACCATAAAATCGGTTTGGGAGCAGGAACCGGTTTGGGTGCTGCTTTTGGCATATCTACTGAATGATCACCTTCGCGTTCCAATTGTTCAAATTTATCATGTCGCCAGCGACCGGTGTCAGGATCACCGTATAGATGCCCGGGCGAATCGTTGCGTGTCGAGAAATTCCTATCTGGAGATCCGGGAGAGCGGCGATCCCTGAAATCACGTCGATAGCCTACCACAAGCAAAACAAATTTGCGTTAATGTAGAATGTTATTTTTTAAAAATGGAAATGACGAAAAGTTTAGTGCTGAAGAGGTCAATTGGGTCTATCAATCGTTCGGAATCTTATGTAATGAGCAACGTAGAAGCTGATAGGCCAGCAGCAGTGATATGGTTATGGAGCAGAGCGCCAGTTGGAATGCAATGTGAATGTTCCACCCAACCGGTTAGCTACTGACTAATTTGGTTAATTGCTTTGTAATGCCTACGATGAATTGGAACGGATCTCGGCTATTGTCAACGGGCCATATTGCCTAAACTTTATGGACCACCCCAGTCACCGAAGCTCGCGGTCGATACAAAGTTTAAAAAGAAATAACCATGGCTGTGTTGTTACACGAGTCGCAACGAGAGCATACTATCGAACAAGACATGTTGAAAAAAGACGAGCGGGTGACTGGAAGCAAACTCAATTTTCATTCAAGTCGCCCAGGCTACTGAATAGTGGGAGTTAACGATCTGGCTCCTCGTTATAGGTGTTAGAAAAAGAATTAGTGGTATCAGCAGTACGCCGTTATGCAGTACCGACGCTTCGCTGCCGCGCAACTACCACCGGTAGCACATAGGCCAAGGATACTGTGAGGGTAAATCGGTTGCTACGCAGACTCGAACTAGCGCCCTCAGATAACAAATGTTTGTGATCCTTAAGGCGGTGTCCAGTGTATGGTTGAGGCAGTTACAAGCTTCTTCAGAGGTGAACAATCGAAACTGCAACGAAAGGTCAAAATTGGCAGAACGTAGTGATAGTCGTTAGGCTGCCAGGTCAAACGTGATCGTCAGTGCTAATACAATTTGGCACATTTAGAATGTGCGTGCGTTTATGAGGTCAAATTGTTTGTTCAATGGCTATATGACGGAAGCCTTGGCGAATTAGAATAGATACATGTGATCGCTTGCTGACGCAGTGTATACGAGTAGATTCAGAACAATAGAAGTACTGAATAGTGTGTGATCACTTAATGCTTTTCTGGATCCGTTTAGCTCCTCTACCCAGTCGATGTCGATGCGCGAAATTCTACTGTTTAATAGCCTTACTGTCTGTTCTCGATTTCACGCGAGGCACACCTCAGTAGGTGTGATCAGTCAGACACATGGAGTGAAGAATATTTCGTTTCCAAACTGAACGGTAGCGTGTTCAAATGAAGAAAATGAGATGCTCAACAACACGATGACAAATAACTGTGGTGAAATGTTTGTAGTTAGGGGCATTGCCATGAGGTTTTCTTTCAGTCTGCATGAACCCTAATACACGCGAATGATCGTATGGTTCACGTTTGTTAATCGCAGTCGTTCCTATCACGTAAATTTCCCTGCCCTTGGACCGACCGTTGAAACGCTCTGTGAGATGGACAGTCGACGCAATCTATGGTGATAATAAACTTCTGTGTCTAGTATAAATATTCGTGAAGCTTGAAGATAATTTTGATGATCAGAGGGTCGTGGATTATTCACTGAAATAATGACGAAATCAGTGACGTGTTTTTCACGATATGTTTCCGGCTACTTTAAAGGTACACAAAAATCGCGCGTCGGGGAGTGGTTGACATCGTCAAGAGTATAAGAGCTGCATTAGGAGCACAATAGATGGGTTGTTGACGGAAAATTATGTTAACACTGCGGGGCCAGTGGTGCGATTGACAGCAGAATCGAACGGGAAGCTGTGTCCATGCGCGTTAATCCCTTTTTGCTCAGCTAGAGATTGCCCCATGTAAGTTGTAATCATCGTCTCTTGCTGGACGCTGGAAATGTTTCTTATGGCCGCAGTCTCAGCTGAGAATGAACAGCCTCGGGTTGAGCCATCAGCAAAAACTATGGGCGAGCAATGGTGAATACCCACCAGTCTTGAGTTGAACCAAGGTACTGCAACTTCTCCCAAGATGGGAACACCGAGTGGGCAATCAGCGTGTCCGGGAAGTGCGAGTGAACCGCCCATCACCGTTATCTCATCCATCGGGCTCCGATGTTTGGGCCACGAGTTGCACATACCAGCACACCGACTGCCACCTCGTGCGCGATTTGCGCGCCGTAGATGTGGATGGAAGAGGAGGTCAAGCAATGACTTGGTTAAGATGAATGAAAATCCTCACTTCGAAGTTGGCGTCAATTGGTACATCCCGACTGCCGAGCTGAAGGACGAAGAACACGTTTGGCTGGATACACTTGCTGATATGGCGAAGGGCCGGCCCCAATGGTGTTTGTGCTGTGAATTTCTCTGTTCACCCCCTCCCTTTTAGATTCCTCTCTAATTACGATCTCATACTAAATACATGGTGCGATATTTAACATTATGTTACTTCATTTCTGAAGTCAGTAAATTTTAGTATCTTATCTTTTTGTACTGCGGTACGTTAGCTGAGGTGTGTTTCTCGCCCTTACCTAACGTGCATCGATGATAATGATGAATTTCTCCCATTCACGCTTTTAGCTGCTGAGGGTGCTCAGTGGGAAAAACTAGTAGACGTCACCTTGTGGATGTTGCTTCAGATAGAACTTATTGCTTGCTATAAGACGAACTGGAATGTACACATTTGGCTCACTCGGCAGATACGCTTAAGAACCGACGTGAACTGAATGACTACTTATCGTGTTCATCTTAGGTGATAAAAGCTGTCCGGAAAAAGGTGATTACTACGTTACCATTTGAAGGTAAACGGAATTTTCCACATTGATCACTTAAGTCGGTGGTGTCCTTGCGCAGCTAGAATGCACGCAGCCGCACCCAAGGACAAGTCGGATAGACTGAGTTTACTAGTTCAAAGTAAACTGACTGGGTAGAGATAGCTATATAGGCCTAGGAGGACATTCTATCGAGCTCAAGTATATAGTACTTCAAGTGTATGACATCTGCTGGATTGCACCTCGTTAATAATCCCATGATTTATTGCTAATGATTATCAAAGCCTGCTCCGGTTCGCTGAAGCCTCGGTCATGCGACACCAAAACACACAGCCCAACTTTAGCGACCATGCAAAGCACAGCTGTCGTATGTATGGGCTGGGCTGTAAATAGGATCGGGATCAGCACTGACGCTAACCCACACAATTTTTACTCATCGGGTGTTTGACCCTGGACTTTCGTTGCTACGGTCACGACTTAGTAAACCGGTTGGCCCGCCGAACAACCTCCTTGTGGTGCCAATTGGGTGAGTTGGGATCATCCTTTTCCAGCCAGTGGTTCGGCGGCAGTGTTCCACGACGTGGTGAGTTTACGTCTGTCAAGCGTTCTCCCTACAAAAAGTCACATATGACCGTCTAACAACACTGCGACGTGGCAGATGTGACTCGTGACCAAATAAAGCCACCGCCCCATGCTTCACTTCGGTGGAGCATTGTATTCCAACACCCTTTTGCTAAAATCGTGAGGAGGATTAAGCCCCTGTGGATTGCGGATAATATAACTAAAGATATAACTTTGGATGTTTGTGAGTAGGGTAAAGTGTGTAGAAAGTAGAAGTCACGATTAAAATTCACGCACAATAATGTGCCTCGACGGGGAATCGAACCCCGGTCCACGAATTTCCGCTCCGCTGCTCTACCACTGAGCTACCGAGGGCTGACGATTAGGTGAGCAAATTTTAACACATGACTTCTGCTTAGTGCGCGACGTATTGCCAATGGGCTCACAGTACCTGTCCTGGTGTTGCAGATTGGCTCACTCACCCGTCACTTCCCACTGAGCTGAAGTACCTGTCCTTCGGATGTCCAATGGGCGATAGTACAAACTTTACCCTACTCACAAACATCCAAAATTAATCTACTATCGCCCACTGGACATTCGAAGGACAGGTACTTCAGCCCATTGGGAAGTGACGGGTGAGTGAGCCAATCTGCAACACCAGGACAGGTACTGTGAGTCCATTGGCAATACGTCGCGCACCAAGCAGAAGTCATATGTGAAAATTTGCGCACCTAATCGTCAGCCCCCGGTAGCTCAGTGGTAGAGCAGCGGAACGGAAATTCGTGGACCGGGGTTCGATTACCCGTCGAGGTACATTATTGTGCGTGAATTTTAATCGTGACTTCTACTTTCTATAAAGATATAACGTTTACCTGCATATATCTTGGCTTCGGGCCGCAGTGACACTGAGCAATTAAACACATTGCGAACTGTCCTCGAGTGTCTGGAAGAGTGTGGTTAAAAGTATGAAAAAAACTCCAAATGTGAGTTCTTATCCTATTCTGTTTGTTGCCTCGGTTACAAACTGGAGAACCGGTTTGCATGTCTTAAAAAATAAAAATAGAGCCTACTGTACAGGAACCTCAGCCAAAGAATAGTAGGGAATTACGATCATTCCTAGGAATGTTGTCGCTCTATTGTCGTTTCCTACCGCATGCCTCAACCATTCTAGTGCCATTGAACGAAATGCTACACAAAAACCACGTGGATGAGAAAGAGCGAGCATCAATCTGCTTTAGTATATATAAAAAGTGTCTTGCTTCCGCACCTGTTTTAGTCCAATACGATAGTGAAAAACCGCTAATCTTACAGCGTGATGCCTCTTCATACGGAGTCAGAGCAGTTCTACGTCACAAAATGTCGAATAGTGCCATTCACCCGATTGCGCTGGCCTCTCAATTGGGTAAAGTAGCCCTATCAGTTATATTTGATATCAAGAAGATCCGTCGGCAGCCTAGAGGTAACGAAGTTGTTTCGTAATCTTGCGGCCCGGGTTCGAATCTGAGTAGGGGTGGGTGTCCTCGCGGTATACTCAGCCCGCGTGCGACTGACGGTAGTCGCACGGCAGCGAAGCGCTGAAACGGCGTGCAGCTGACATATTTTTTCCATCGGTAAATTTGAAGCAAGTAGTTCGAAATACAAACAGACCACAAACCACTGATATACTTGCCGAGCGAGCAGATATTTTCCCCGAGAATGCAACGCAGGGGGTAAAAATATCGAATCTCATATTCCTTGGTTGATAAATGATACGGCGGATGCATTAAGCAAGATGTCACATGCGACCTACGACGACATAGTGGAGGAACCTCGACACCACTCCAATCCCCCAAACAGAAAAAATAAAGGGGAACGGGTCTCACTATTGTCTCCTACGCACAGAGTTGGAGCCGAAGACACCGCTATCCTGATGCTCTGTATCACATATTCATAATGGTAGTGGAACAATTTGCCACACGTCAGTTAGGTCGATTTTCCAATCGTTAAGAAGTAAAGACCGGTGAGCTTGCAAAAGCACTCTGCATGCGAAAAACTGGTGTCATGGATAGGACCGCTATCGACAGTCTGCCGAAAGTTAATTGTGCTGCACTGCGATTGCCTAATGTCGTCCGCCTGATTGAGACCAACTAGTTTTTCTTCGAGCAGGAACCCAAAGGCCCCATTGTCGGACTGCTCGGGAAGCGATCCCATGCTGTTTTAAATAAATAAATAGTTTATTATCAGTTTCATAGAGACACACCGTTATGTAGCGTGACGGACACTGTCGAAATCGAAAGAACGGGCAATCAATCTCAGTGGATAAATGCTACACCCAGTAAGTCGTCGAAAATACGCACCGGACAGGTGATTAAAAACGACGGTGTTATACACAACAACATTTGCTCACCTGCAGTGCTAGGGAAGCGAGTGCGCCAATTCCGGCGACTGGTCAAATCGCTGTCATCGCGAGTATCGTGCTACAGAAGACGAGAAAATGTCCAGTGAGAACGAAGAGCGATAATGTGTAATGTTCTATCACCGTATCACATCATATGAAACAAACACCCCGGATCAGACTGAAATGGCGTTCTGGATCTGCAACTATAGCTCCAAAGGCTACACCCAACATGCTGGATTAAATCAAAAAGCTGTTGATCAGTCGCGCAGCTTCACTCGACTTTTTCGACGTGATGGAATGTGGAAGCCGGAAGGTAAGTATTTGTGTAGTGTTTTGAAAAATATTGAGAGCAGGCAGAACAAAGATAACGATAAAATAAGTGGAGATAAAGGGAAGACAGCGCCACAGTTTGGTTTCAGTCAAGAAACAAGGGGTTTCTGTAATTGCCCTATTGAGATTGCACCATGACTAGATGCGTCCTTGTTGGTATAAGTAGTCTGGAGATTGCTGCCACCAGAAACCGAACTCCGAGGATCGTACTTACTGAGGGAAGATCCCGATATCAGAAGCATTGGGTTTTCAATCAATTACACTAGTATCGAATACAAACGGCCGATCCAAGCATGGTAGGGTGTTCAACGCGCGAAACGTCGAAAACGGATGTTGTGCCTAAAACTTGCAATGTGGCAATAACAGTTAAATTGGTAAACTGCACGCAGTGGAACCACGTTACTGAGGAAATCTCGCATAAGTTAACTAAAATACCACCAAATACCTCAGACACAGAATATAGTACCAAGCGTGATCTGCACATAAGGGGAGTGTCAATGGGAAGGTTATCACCAGCTCACATGGCAACATTTACACACAAATGAAGTAAAGGCAGTAAAAGGAATTTTGGCGAAATAGGTAGGTCAAAAGCAGAAAAGTTAGTTGCAGGAAAGTACTCACAAGGCGCTAGGAACAATTTAAACTGGATCACAATAAAAAAGCGAAGATACAGAGGTCACAAAAGAAAGAGATCATCGTTAGCAACATAATGCGCATCGACTGGAGTTGGGAAACACCTTAATTAATTTACCGCAACAAACGCAGTTAAATTGTTTTAGCAAAGCTAATAGTCTTGTGTTGTTTTTTTATGCAGCTATAAGTGAGATCGTGGTTAGAGGGAACAAAAAAGAACAACCTACCAGGAAATAAGCAGGGTTTCTAGGCGTTTCAAGTGGGTTCAGAGAGCCTGAAAAAGCGAAAAACCGAATACAATTAGGAGTATTAAAACACATGCTCCGGCAACGTAGGACATAAGCGAGAGACTCAAGTTCAGTAATACGACATAAGCCGACAACGACATACCGCATGGCAGAAAATGGTCGCACTACCACCATTAGTTGTGTGTTTCTCGGGTCGCCGTACTGTAAACGGGCTTGTGCGCTTTCTCTCATTTGCCGTACATAATTTAGGATGGAGTCAGGTCCATAATTAGTTGTCAAATCCAAGCAATGTGAGCTGCTAAATGCAGTATTCCGTTTCTAAATTGTGTTGTACTTTGCCTCCTGCTCAACATATCTATCCATGACGCTTGCTTTCTCTGCTACGGTGGTTGTCCAGATTCGCATTTGTTGATCAAGCTCCCTATTGGTTATCTGATATCAGCAAGCGCAAGTTGATAGTTAACATGCTAATTCAGTCGTTTACGTGGGAGCACCTTGTTGTGCACATACCTGTGTCAGTGAATGTGAGAAAATTTGCGGGTTTAGCTGTAGCTTTTCGACCCTGAGCTGTTTAAGCCCGTGTGGGATCCATTTTGTGTAGACTTGTGCCACTAACAATTATTCTTCTGGCGTTCCTGATTATTCCTACAGACTTGCCACAATGCCATAGAGTGCAGTATTCAGTGATGACATAGCAAATGTACTCACCAAACCGCGAGTTTCCATTGAAATCATCTACTCGACACCCAAAAAAGCGTCCTGTGTGGGTAAGATTTACCCTGTCTTGATGGCGCGTTGAAGAGGAAGTACGGGTAAGGTCGGATTGTCTGGATAAAAAAACACGTAAGAAGAAGCATTTGTGCATTATCGAAACGCATTCAGTACATAGTAACACTTTAACTGGATGTAATTTTACCGTACATTGAATCACTGAGTTTAGTATTACATAACAATGGAACCCTATTTATGCACATATAAGGTGGGATGTGAATTCAAGTTATTCGGGTCAAAAGGGATATGCGCATACAACTACAATCCGAGCTCACAACACTATGTAGTCAACCGTAGTCACTTAATACACTAAGTCACTCAATGTTTATCAGCATGCGGTAAACCGAAAACACCGTTCCATTGCATGCACACGCTGTACACGTTATTAAGCGCCCACTTATTCTTCGTCATGTTCTCAAGCAGTCGGCTGGTGCTTATATGTGCAGCTCTCTTAGTTCCCGTACCTA